CATTGAACAGATCTAGTTCAAGGACCTTTGCAACTGAGCGACATAACCCTTCAGTAACAGGGCATCAAGAGCAATTTGCCTTCCAAAGGAGACTTCCACTTTACTGCTGGAACAAAATGGGGACTATGGTAGGGGCAGGAGAACTCTTTTCAGAGGTCGAAGACAAAGAAAAGATGGAAGGATCCCAAGACTCCATCCTTCAGCTGAAGCAAAATCTCCAACACCAAAGTTTGACTTGTTAGCTTCAAATTTTCCTCCTCTACCTGGGAGTTCATCAAGAATGCCAGGAGAAATCCTTTTGGAGAATAGAATGTCTGATGTCATTAAAGGTGTCTACAAAGAAAAGGAGAATGAAGATGTGAGAATTAGTGGCCTGACACCTGTAGAATAAGAGCAAACAGACTGCGCTGCAGCCCAGGAACTCATGAGTACCAGTCCTCCGTGTACAACTGAGCTTCCTACATTAAGCACAACGCGGCATGAAGAAGATGCAATAGATGATTCCACTGTTCAGAAGGATGTTCTCAATCAGATGACTACACCAGTTCCTTCCCCGAGTAAGTACTGAAAAGTCATCAAGAGCAAATACAGCTTTACCATGTAATAGTAACATAAATGTACCCACAGCTGTGCCCTTACAGGAACCCCGAAAGTTATGCTGAAGTATGCCAGAAACCTCCTAAAGAGCCTTCTCCCATTCATGTGCAGCCACTGCAGGAACTTCACTCCAATGCAGTGTCTCCCACCAAGAACCAAGAGAATGGAGCTCTTGAGAAGTCTGTTGAGAAACCGCAGGAGAAGCCAGCAGCAAGGGCTACTAAGGATTACTCTGGCTTCCAAGGCAGTACCATTCCCAGGGGAGCTGCTGGAAAAATCAGGGAACAGAGACGCCAGTTCAGCCACAGGGCTCGACCTCAGGGAGTGACTCAGCATAACGGCAAGGAACATGTGCCACTCACATCACCAAAGTAAAAGCAAACGAAAACTACTCAGAAATCTCTCTTCCCATTAAACTTGAGCTGCGGCTTCTTGAACTGC